AACCTTCAAGTGGTAAGAAAGAAACTTTTTTAAAACTTTATGAAGTGCTTATAATCCTCCTCTGGAAACTTAGATTCTGAGCTTTTGTAATGACCTAAATGTAACTTGACAGTGCAAGCATTGTTGTTTTTAAAGTCAAATATTTCATTATTTACAGTGACATTTTGAGTTATTTTTGAGCTATTATTAATATCTAAATAACAATACCTTTGACTAGTAGCTCAGATTTACAACCACAATGCTGCATGTTACTGATTAATTATCATGTTATTGATTAATAAATTTGTGTGTATATTTCTTTCTTTCTTTTTTATTTTTTTGATTGGACATCCCAAAGTCCAGGGATTAAAGTTTTCCGTCGCTATGACGGATTTCCGTCAATTGGAAAAAATGAGGGGAAAAGAAACATGTAGCGCATTGTTGTTGTTTTGCCGGCACAACAAAAATCATCTCCGCCACGGCTGCAGCTTCTCACTAGCCAAGTTTCCATCTAGTTTTTGCACTAGCTGGCTGTGCTGATTTAAATCTAGCGGTTCTGTTGTGTTTGTGTCACAAGTTCAGTGACGCAGGTAGTGACGATTCTCTCCGGCCAATCTGTGATCAGCAGAGTTTACACGTCACGTTTTGGTAACGGTACGGTACCGAGCCGTACCATGCAGTGGAAAAGTGCCATATATAGGCTAGTAGCCTGTTCTTTCATCCATTTGAAACAAAAAAGTTTATTATATAGGCTATTATTAAATTGTATAGGCCTACATAAAATTATTTTTATTAACAAGTTTCATTTTTTTTGTACTTTGTTATAGACTATTTAGTTACTTGATGATCAAGCAATATTCTTAAGCAGGTGCAGTTGTATTTGTAGCACAGTTCGTAAGGAGGAAGGAAGGAAGTGAACCAGGTGGGCGTTTGGAGACTCGTGGATCTTTATTTAATAACTCAAACTTGAACAAAAACAAACGTAGTGCTTCCCGCGTGTTCGCACACTGCCAATGGCATAAATTCAGTTCCTCAGGTATTCTCTCTCTGGCAGAGCGATGGCCACGAGTCCCCGTCTCTCTCTCTCTTCCCCGCTCTCCAGTCTGCCTTTTAACCAGTCTCTCCAGGCCAATTACTGCAATCAGACACAGGTGTTCATCATTTTGCACTTGACCTACTTACTCACCGCTCGTCTCCTGCCCCTCTCTCCCGCTGCAGACTTTGCTGAACCATGCCCCCCTCGCCACAGTATTATTATTATTATTTTTGTAATGAACATTTATTAGACTGTATTGAAAATAGGAATGTTCATTTCGGTTATTTTATTTCTCCTAACCGACAACCAACGGTCGTTAAGCCATTATTAGCCGTTAACCGACAAGATTATGATAAATCACAATTAAATTAAATTTCAATTGATACGCGGCTGTGACCCATTAAAAATACCTAAATTTGTTTTCCAGGGATTAATTTTATACACGCAAAAATCAGCATAAACAACAGAACGTGAGGATTCACATGGTCACGCACCTGCAGCGCTTCTGCAAACGGAGAAAAAAAATAAAGCTACAGTATATATACGTAAAAGAAATAAATAGGCCTATATGCGAAATGTATTTTTCTAAATAATTAATAAATTAACAAAACGAAAGAAAAAAAACTGCGCAACAAGTAGCAGCCTATATGCAGAATTTCGGTTCATTTTTGTGATGCGCTCTTGAGAAAGCGACATCCTGTTTGTTTCCTTTATTTTACAAAAGAACAATATTTGTTTGACTCAACAACTTTCATCTTCAGAACAAAATGAATACATTTTAACTTGCAACATATTAAAGCAACATTAAATTAAGATATGTATGTTTGAGAGGTAACTCGTCTTTTTCTTACCATATATAAAATAATTTTAGAAACAATAATATCAATATGATTTAATGCACTTTTGAACTACAGAGAAACGGTGCTTTAACGTGAGCAACACCACGAACACGGGCGCTGCCTATAGGCTAATTCTGTCATGTGACACCACATTTATTTGTGTTAAAGCCCCTTTTCTCGACATAAAGTGTTTCCAAACTAAGTTTTGCGACATTTGAAGTATCTATATAGAATAGAAACCTGGCTACTGCCCAGCTAACAATTTTTGGTTCCCAGAACGTTAGTTTTTGGTTCCCTGAACGTTATTTTTTATTAGCCAGGAAATTTTTCTTAACGTTCCCATACCATTAGTTGTTGGTTCCCAGAACGTTATTCTAACATTAATCTAACATTCCCATAATGTTAATCTAACTTTCCCATAATGTTATTATAACGTTCCCCTAACCTCTTTACTCCGATATGATCACCCCGCTGTACGTCAGTAATTATCCAGCACACTCGTGACCCAGTATATTATAAGCGGCATGGAAATTATATGTATGGCGCCTAATCAGTATTATAAAAACCACATCTTGTTTTAATCTATTGTTTAAGTAATAATCGGAGCACATCAACCATCATATGTAAGATTAAATAAGAATAAGTCTGTCATTAAAGGGTTAGTTCACCCAAAAATTAAAATTAGGCTGTGTTTTACTCACCCCAGAGGCATCCTAGGTGTATATGACTTTCTTCTTTCACACGAATCCAGTCGGAGTTATATTAAAAATTGTCCTGGCTATTCCAAGCTCTATCATTGCAGTCAGCGGGTGTTGCAGTGCTTCAGTCCCAAAGAAGTTAAATAAAAAGTGCCCATCCATAAAAAAAGTGTCTCACACGGCTCCAGGGGTTGAACAAAGGCCTCCTGTAGCAAATCGATGCGTTTTTGTAAGAAAAATATCCACATTCAAAATGTAATAATCACTTTAATCTAGCTTGCGCTAACAGTTGTACACGGAAGCAGTTCCCGGGCTGATGACGTATGAGGTTAGCGCTGCGCAATATAACCTAAAAATAACCATTAGGGAACTTCTCTATAAGTTATTTTTAGGTTATTTTAAAAATAACCACCCTGCAACGTTCTGGGAACGTTATTTTATGGTTACAAAAAATATAACCTAAAAAGAACGTTCCCCTAACGTTAGTATTTGGTTCCCAAAAAAATAACCAAACGGGAACCAAAAACTAACGTTAGGGGAACTTTCTGTGTTTGCTGGGATACCACTGTGTTTGCCCGAAGATGCCTTCTGCTATGGATTTGTTTTGAGCTATTTTTTTGAGTCATTTAAAGGCACAATATGTACGATTTTTTTTATTAAAATATCCAAAAACCACTAGAACAGTGTTATATATTTTGCTGACTTGTGTACTTACATCAGTATATATACGTAAAAGAAATAAATAGGCCTATATGCGAAATGTATTTTTCTAAATAATTAATAAATTAACAAAACGAAAGAAAAAAAACTGCGCAACAAGTAGCAGCCTATATGCAGAATTTCGGTTCATTTTTGTGATGCGCTCTTGAGAAAGCGACATCCTGTTTGTTTCCTTTATTTTACAAAAGAACAATATTTGTTTGACTCAACAACTTTCATCTTCAGAACAAAATGAATACATTTTAACTTGCAACATATTAAAGCAACATTAAATTAAGATATGTATGTTTGAGAGGTAACTCGTCTTTTTCTTACCATATATAAAATAATTTTAGAAACAATAATATCAATATGATTTAATGCACTTTTGAACTACAGAGAAACGGTGCTTTAACGTGAGCAACACCACGAACACGGGCGCTGCCTATAGGCTAATTCTGTCATGTGACACCACATTTATTTGTGTTAAAGCCCCTTTTCTCGACATAAAGTGTTTCCAAACTAAGTTTTGCGACATTTGAAGTATCTATATAGAATAGAAACCTGGCTACTGCCCAGCTAACAATTTTTGGTTCCCAGAACGTTAGTTTTTGGTTCCCTGAACGTTATTTTTTATTAGCCAGGAAATTTTTCTTAACGTTCCCATACCATTAGTTGTTGGTTCCCAGAACGTTATTCTAACATTAATCTAACATTCCCATAATGTTAATCTAACTTTCCCATAATGTTATTATAACGTTCCCCTAACCTCTTTACTCCGATATGATCACCCCGCTGTACGTCAGTAATTATCCAGCACACTCGTGACCCAGTATATTATAAGCGGCATGGAAATTATATGTATGGCGCCTAATCAGTATTATAAAAACCACATCTTGTTTTAATCTATTGTTTAAGTAATAATCGGAGCACATCAACCATCATATGTAAGATTAAATAAGAATAAGTCTGTCATTAAAGGGTTAGTTCACCCAAAAATTAAAATTAGGCTGTGTTTTACTCACCCCAGAGGCATCCTAGGTGTATATGACTTTCTTCTTTCACACGAATCCAGTCGGAGTTATATTAAAAATTGTCCTGGCTATTCCAAGCTCTATCATTGCAGTCAGCGGGTGTTGCAGTGCTTCAGTCCCAAAGAAGTTAAATAAAAAGTGCCCATCCATAAAAAAAGTGTCTCACACGGCTCCAGGGGTTGAACAAAGGCCTCCTGTAGCAAATCGATGCGTTTTTGTAAGAAAAATATCCACATTCAAAATGTAATAATCACTTTAATCTAGCTTGCGCTAACAGTTGTACACGGAAGCAGTTCCCGGGCTGATGACGTATGAGGTTAGCGCTGCGCAATATAACCTAAAAATAACCATTAGGGAACTTCTCTATAAGTTATTTTTAGGTTATTTTAAAAATAACCACCCTGCAACGTTCTGGGAACGTTATTTTATGGTTACAAAAAATATAACCTAAAAAGAACGTTCCCCTAACGTTAGTATTTGGTTCCCAAAAAAATTACCAAACAGGAACTAAAAACTAACGTTAGGGGAACATTCTGTGTTTGCTGGGTGACAACATAATGCCGCTCGCATCATTCACAGTCGGGTTATTAGCAGAGAACACAGAGCAGGTCTTGAATTTAGCCGCAGGATTGCGGCTATTAATAATAATTCTACTCATTCCCGCAGATTCCGCACTTATAACGCAATGACAAATGACGGAACGTATCATTTGCACGTGCTTTTGAGTCTTGAGAACTCACTCACTCACGCGCTCTCATTTTCTGTGCGCCCACAGATCGCGATAAGGAGAGTGACAGCTTTTAATAATTATTAAAGTAATTTGCAAATGTGATATTGATTTAATACAACAGTTCAATAAACAAGTACTGCCTGATTTTGCTCTATTTCATCAATGAAAATAGTTCAAATAAAGCCACAGCTCAGCCGATGCGCATCTCTAAAAGCAAACACAGCGGTGTTTCTTTCATGAATGAAAGTGCATTTTTAAACTAATCTAGTGAGTCAGTGATTCATGATTACCCATTCATAAAGACAGTCATCTGTTTCATTCCTGAATGAATTAGGCGTTCAAACGAATCAATTGAATGAATGATTCAGTGATAAATTCAGTGACTTTCCGCCACCTGCTGGCGGTTTCAGTTTCATTTTTAGGTATAATTTCA